ACTTGGAAAGCTGTAAGCCCATAGGGCATTTTGTTTTTGATGTTAACATGTAATACTTATGTAATGGAACTCTAATGAATAAAAGAATGTGGTTAGTTTATATGTAAATGCATGTCTTATCTGATGAGATTATTGTTATTATTTTGAGGGCGTTACAGAGAAGAAATGTTTCAATAGATAATGAAAGAAATTGTAACCGTTAGGAAGAGAGAAGAAATATCTAGATGGATATGAACACATAATATAATTTGGTTAGATATTTGAACAGATAAGGGAAAAAAATTAAACTGATACTCAAAAAATCTAAACTGATAATTAATTTGGACAGATTGAATTTTATTTGGAGAAATATTTAAATAAATAAGGGAAATTTGAATTGAAAAGATTAAAAAATTAAAAAAATAGGATAAAAAATTGAACAGATAAAAAAAATGGAACATATAGGAAAAAAATTGAACAGATAAGAAAAAATTTGAAAGGATAGGAAATTTGGTTTTGAACAGATAGTCAACGAAAGTCTATAGATAAAAAATAAAAAATAAAAAAATAAAAAAAAAATCAACAGGAATAAAATTAGAAACAAATATGTCCTTTAAAGCTAATAAAAAGATTTCTCATTAAATTGTTTTACAAATAAATATTTTACCAATAAAAAATATCTACTAAATTTAATGCCTTAAACACTCTCTAAATTAGATTTATCGCAAAAATTATTTTTATAATTTTATCTCCAAATCGCGTCGCGCACATCGTAGGGATAAAGTACGGAATCCAATTTGCATCGGCAATCGGCTACCGGCTACACCCACGTGACTCCAACATCCAACAAGATTGGCGTGGCAATGCGCTAGCTCCTTCTGCGTTCTTCTCTTCTTATGTCATTTGATTCCAAAGGCACAATTTCTTACTTCACATTCACCAGTATTATTCATTAATAGTCTATCGTCTTTATCTTCATTTTCGTTACAGAAATTCTGTGGATACAACAATTTCTTCCTTTTCAGCTGAAAATCAATATATATCGATCTCTAGATATAAGCTCTCCAACACCTATATAACTTCCTCATTTTCCATTTTTTAAAATAATGAGAAATTCCATAAAAAACAGAAAACATACATCATGTTCATTGGTTTCTGTTGGAGAAAATACCAGAAACTAAACAATATTATTGATAAATGATGCAAAGAAAATGAGATACAAATAGATCAGGCTGAGGCACGGATATCTCGTTTTCTTTAAGGAGATCAAGCCCACTGCGGTAGGAAGAATCCAAATACCGATGCAGCAGTCACAACACTATGACTTGTCCCCTCCAGGATACAACAGCCCGACCGCTTGTCGTATGGTTCAACCCAACTCTGCACAAGATGGTGAACCCAAAGCTCCACCAATAAAACACCATTCTTTGCTAGTAATCTCTCTTGTATAGAAAATAGCTTATCTCTATAGATAGAAAAGAGTAGACTATATATATAGGCTATAAGGACCTTACAGTTACACCAAAAATAATGACCATTAAACAAGAAAATGGTTACACCAAAATAATGACCATTAACCAGGTTCATGAATTCTATTTAACCTCCATTTATGACCAAGAGGTTACCAAAGTAATAAAACCCCATTTATGAAAAAGATAAACCAATAAATAAATATAAGATATTAAAATGGTCCAACAATCCCCCACTCATTTTAATATCAACAAGGATAAAAATAAAAATAAGAGAGATTACCAAACAAAGATAGATTAGTATGCATCATGAAGGTGTGCTCTGCATTGAACCTTCATTAGTGAAACAGCAACCTCTACTCCAGAGTCAGTAGTGGTCTCAAACTTGAACTATGACTGCTTAGATCCTTATATCTAGGTAAACCTAGTGGAGTATGGCAGGATACTTTTCATAAGAATCACCTATGTGAGTGTTAATATTCATTTTCACTTGTTTATTTATCATATCATTTCCCTTTGTCTTTAAGGCTAAAAAACTAACCTATACCTTTGATATGATATGGGGATGGGAATGCGGCCGGAGGACGAAAAATTTGCTTCAAACCCGCCTCGTTGCCATTCCTTCTCATTGCTATCGGCTAATATCACCAACTATGACCTTATCCATCAACCACCTTCGGCCACCACATCCCTTAACCGCCAACCAACTTCCATTGCCACCAACCACCTCTTATTGGCGGTAACCATCTTTGGCCACCACTTTTTATTAAAGATCACTTTCAAATAGCACTTTAGGTGGTTGATCGACCATCATTTCCAACCATTGACAATCAATTTCGACCAATACTTTTTTGTGGCCAATAACCACCTCTAGTCATTGCCAACCGTCTCTTATTAGTAACAACCACTTTTGGCCATTATCTCCCATTGCTAGTAACCACCTCGGACCACTATCTTTAGCCGTCAATAATCACTTTCCGTAACCTTCATTTTCACTTATTTTCAAAATAAAATTTTACAATATTTATGTACCAAACATGTTTTTTTGTAAACAAAAATAAATAAATAAATAAATCGTAAACTTTGCCAAGTGACACCTAATTTGTCTATTTGTCCATATATCCACCAATCAACCCACTTGTCCATCTATTGTGACTTTTTTGGTAACCGTTTGGCAGTTGATAGTGGATAACGATTAATAGTAGTTAGAAAATAGAAAAAGAAAGTTGAGATGGAAAATTACAAGAGTGAAAATAGAAAGAAAAAAAATCATTTAAAACAACTTCTCACTAATATATTTTATTAACTATGTTTTTAAAATTTAAATAAATCAATCACTAAATTAATACCAGTTATCACTATTTTTTTAAATGTATATATAATTCAACATAAGATTGCATCAAGCCAAACTTTGGTTTATACATATTGTCAACATAATCCAATGATGACTGAACATTGAAATAGAGAATAATGATGATTGCAATCATGCCTCTTATACTTGCTCAAAAAAGGAAATCATGCCTATCATCAATAGTTACGATCACTTAAACATCCCAAGTGATTTTTTTTTTTTGGACAAAAGAAAATTTATTAATGCAAAATAAAGTACAAGGAATACAAATAAATTATATCAACAAAAAGCGGAGAAGAAAATAACATCAAAGCTTTAGACACGTATAGCAACAAGTTGACACATGCAGTAAGCTTATCATAAACTATACCAAAGTTTATGTAATTTGTTGTAGTGTCTTCTGAAGTTATTAGCAAATTAGTTGGGTTCATTTGGAAGAATATGGCTCCACCAAAGGTGTAGTTTTTTGGATGGTTAGCATGGAAAGAGAGGATAAAGACATCATGTTATCTTCAAAGAATTGGTGTCCTCAGTGATGTATCAAATGTAAATTATATTTTTTTGTAGGAATGACATAGAGAGTGTAAACCATGTGCTGCTGTTTTGCCCTTTTATTTGGAGGATTTGGTCCAATATTATAAATTGTTAGGGTGTGAATTGGGTAATGCCAGGGTTAGTGAGTGGTCTTTTACAATGGTGGGCTGGTTAAAACTCAAAAAAAAGGACATGGCCATCTGGAAGGCCATTCCATTGGCTGTACTCTGGTCTATTTAGAGGCATAGGAATGATAGCATCTTTAATGGCTCACCAGTGGAATTTGAAGGCACTACAAGAAAATGCAGAATTGGCGACCAAAATAAGTATTTTCGTCGCTGAAAGTAGTACCAATGGCGACTAAAATCAGTTTTGTCGCCAAACCTGAGCACTTTTGCCGACTAAAGCACTTTAGTCGCCGAATATAGGCCTTTTAGCGACTAAAAGTCAGTTTAGTCGCCGAATATAGGAGTTTCAGCGACTGAAAAAATTTTAGTAGCTAAAAGGCATGGTTTTTGGCGACTAAAAGCATTTAGTAGCCAAAACTATAGGTTTTGGCGACTAAAAACTACTTTAGTCGCCGAATATAGGTGTTTTACTGACAAACAAATTTTTTGTAGCCAAAAGTAAAGGTTTTTGGCTACTAAAAAAAATTTAGTAGCTAAAAGTGGACAAATGGCGACTAAAACTGAGTTTAGTCGGCAAAAGTGGAGCTTTTGGCGACTAAAAATCAGTTTAGTCGCCGAAAGTTGTTTTTTTTGGGCGGAAATTCTGCATTTAGCGACAAAATTGCATTTAGTAGCCAAAAAGCATAGAATTGGCGACTAAAATTCATATTTAGTCGCCAAAAGTGCTCCCCTATTTTTTTTTAGTAAATACTTTATTTTTTTCTTAAAATATATTAAATAAAAATAATTATTTATATATATATTGTTTTCTATTAATATCGGTCAATATATTATATAAATAATATATGTTGCATTTATATTCATGTGATGTTCTTGTGGCGTAGTGGGGAGAGTGTTGGTAAAGGTTTACAGAGGCTGGGACATTAGTGGTTCGAAACCTGGGAGTAGCAAAAGGTGAATTTTTTTTTTTCGGAAAAATGCTTTCAGCGACTAAACTTTTTCGTCGCCAAATGTGTTGTTTTGGGCGACTAATGAGTTTAGTCGGCGATTCATGACCTATTGGCGACTAAAATAGTTGTCGCTAAATGGATAATTTGAAAAAGTGGAATTGAGTATTGGCGACTAAAAGTTTTGTCGCTGAAGACCTGACTTTTTGCCGACTAAAACGTTTTTAGTCGCCAAAACCTTGGGCGACCATTTATTGGCGACAACACTGGCGACAAAAAAAATCAGTCGGGGAAGGTATTAAAGTGACTTTAGTCGCCAAAGGTGATTTTTGTTGTAGTGGGGTCACATAATGTACCAATTATTGATGATAATTAGATTGTATTTTGACCCCAAAAAAATTATCATTGATCTTTTTAACTCACTATGTTTTTTGAAAAATAAATTATTTTATTTTTTAATTATCAATTGACTTAATTTGTGATTGATTTTTTTAAGGGGAATTGACTAGTAAATCCCAAATTGTCATCTTGTAACTCATTTGGTCCTAAATTATTTATGTTAAACTATTTAGCCCTTATGACAGGTTGTTTACAATTTTGCCACTAATGTGTTAATTTGAATTTATGGGGCGTGTTTATGGGAATGATGGTGTTTGTGGTTCACATACCCAAGAAAAGCGTACTAGTAGGTTTTGGAGTTGTGGGACTGTGTTAATGTGGGACTAAAACCACATTGGTTTTGGGTAGCTAGTACGACGTGGGTGCGTGAATCGGGTTTTTTGTATGGCCCGAACTCGAAAATGTGTTGACCCGGAAAATCAAATTGGTTAGGCCTGTATAAGTGTTTTGGAAATAGGAATCATCCCCAAATTGGGAGACGATTCGGTGGCTAGGTGCAACGTGAACCTTATTAATTGTTGGAATTGCCCCCCCCCATTTCGCAAATTCAAATCAACATAATCCCTAAACAGACGGAAGAGATTGAAGGAATAATTGACCCCGAGTTTGTGCATATCAGAGGTGGTGTGGTTGTACTTGGCGTTGAGTGCTGTGGCGTGAAGAACACTAGTTTGGTTGGTCGGTCGGAGGTGTCTCCTGTGAATCCGGCTTAGCGTAGTGGTAGTGGACTAGTTGATCCAACGTGACGTGAACAATGTATGCGACGTGATGACCCAGAACTCAAAATGGTCCGTGAACGTGAACAATGGTGTGTGAAGCGGGTTAACGTGAACGTGAACAATGGTGCGTGAATCCAGCTTAAACATGAATGTGAATAATGGTGAGGTATTACTGCAAATACCTTTTACTTGATTAGGAAGAACCTTGTGAAGAAATGCATTGAGATGTTCAATGAGATTGCAGAGAACAAGGAGGACTACAACAAATTCTATGAAGCTTTCTCCAAGAATTTGAAGTTGGGTATCCATGAGGACAGCCAGAACAGGGGGAAATTGGCTGATTTGCTCCGATATCACTCAACAAAGAGCGGCGACGAGCTGACTAACTTGAAGGATTATATCACGAGAATGAAGCAAGAAGACCATGGAGATCAATCCTGACAATGGAATTATGGAGGAGTTGAGGAAGAGAGTTGAGGCTGACAAGAACGACAAGTCGGTGAAAGATCTTATGATGCTGCTGTTTGAGACGGCGCTCTTGACTTCTGGGTTCAGTCTTGATGATCCAAATACATTTGCTGCGAGGATTCACATGATGTTGAAATTGGGTCTGAGCATCGAGGAGGATGAGGAAGCAGGCGAGGATGCCGACATGCCAGCTCTGGAAGAGGAGGCTAACGGGATCACTCATAGGTTAGAAAGAGAAAAGCAGAGAAGAGAGAGAAAAAGAGAATAGAAAGAAAAGAAGAAGCAGAAGATATGGGAAAAGGAGAAGATGAGAGAGAACTAAAAAAACAAAAGTTGATACCTATATCTAAAACTAAAACCATGATGAGACTGCAGACACTTGATTAAATGTTTTCACATTTTTAGAATTGGGTTAACGTGAACGTGAACATGAACAATGGTGCGTGAATACAAAATGCGGACCATCCCTGTGGGAAGCCGACAGTGTTGACGTTAAACCCAGCAATGGTGGACTGTCACAGATGATGTGGGCCACAAAACACAAACCTTAAAATGGATTATACATACATACTCACCAAGATCTCACACTTCCACCTCCCTCACCAAACGTGGGATTATACATACCCAAAATAAAACAAACACATTCCACAATTTATGTGAGGGCATATTCGTCCTCCACATAACAATGTAAATTCAAAAAAGGAGTAAACTGTAAGATATCCATTCTAACATGGATTTACCAATCAAACAAAAAATTTGTGGGACCAAACGGAACATAATTTACCTAGATGGGACTTTCCGATAAATTTCCCTTTAAAATAAGTATTTTAACTCACTAAAAAATCATAAATGACATTTTATTTAATCAAAATTTCTACTTTATGTAGTAAAATATTTTTATTTCACGTGTCAATCAAATGTTGAAAAACAAAAATAAGAACAATTTTTTTTGTGTAAAATCAATTTGTAAGAAAATTATTTTTTTATAAAATATTTTAAGTCGAAACAATAAAATGTCATAAATGACACCTTATTGAATCAAAATTTCCTTTTTAGGCAATAAAATATTTTTATTTCAAGTGTCAACTGAATGTTGAAAAATAAAAACAAAACAATTTTCTTTTTTTTTTTGTAAAATCAATTTATAAAAAAAATATTTTTTTTGTGTAAATGTCGAAGCAATCAGAGCCTTAGTATATTGTATGTTGGTATTTCATGTCATCAATTACGAACCACATAAATTTTGTATTCTTGTTTTCTTTGTAATTCTTTCTCAGACTCAAACTGAACATCCTCCTCATCCCCATCCCCAACACTAAACAACTTATCATCCTCAATATAAAACTTAATATGCTTGAAACGTTTTTAAACCACTTATTTTTCATAATCACTAGAATTGTAATCCGAGTATTAGGATTCGTATCGAGAAGGCGAGTAAGCAATCGGACTAACTCCGACAAGAACCACCGAAGACATCGAAAATCCCCTTTATATATGTTTTTATACATTGCCATGATATTCTGATCATGAAAAGAAAAATACCCATCCATCAAAACAAAAAAAATCACCCCACAAGACCATGAATCAACCTTCTATTGGAAAAATGGTTTGTGAAGCCATGAGCTTTGGCTGGTTTGTGAAACCATGAATTTTGGCCAACTTTAAACCTAATTTGAGATAAGATCAGGACACCGATTGAGATATGTTCAGTTGGAAATGCGTTCTGTGCCGGGTAGTTATTCACTTCGTATATATGTGGTTGTTCAAACCATTTTTCGAGTGAATGCGAAATTGACTGCTTCGGCAAAACGGCTCTAGTTTCATCCAGAAACTCCGGAGTGTTTTAATGGAAATTCAATTTCAATTGTGATTTGGTTTCTTCTCCTTCTAAGAGCATCTATCAAATTTTTGATAGAGGTTCATATGGTGAAGGTCGATTTTCCAGCTGAATTTGAAACAGTATGTTCACCACGTTTTAGGCGCATTCTCGAAGTTGAATAGCCGAAATTAGAGCAGATTCGTGATTGTTCGAACCGTTATCTCAGAGTTTATAAATACCTCACTCATCCTAAGTTGTGGAATATAGAAACCTGAATTGAATTAGATTCCAAATCAGAGTTAGAGTCGCATCGAATTTTCAAAATTCTTCTCTCTATTTTCCTTCATCTTCATTCAAGTTTGCGTCTAAGTTAGAGATAGTGCAACACAAGTTTGGTTCACCATATCTGGATTGTTGTGCTGTGATCTTGGATTCTAGTCGTTATATCTTAGGAGGTTGGCATCGATAGGGGCAAATTAAACCTTTACGCTGTGTTTGGTTGAGAGATTTAGAGAGGGATTTAGAAAAAAAAAAGAAAAAAGTGCGTGAAACTAAGTGAAATATAGGTATGTTTTATTCACATTTTACCTACTTTTTCTATTTTTCTTTATAGATCTCTTCTCAAATCCCCCGATCAAATACAGCATTAAGAAATTGTGCCCAACACAAGCCGACTAAATTCGGTATTGTATTGTTTTGTGTTATAATTTCCAGTTTATGTTTCCAATATAATCTCCTTGCATATTTGTTTGAAGTTGTTATGGTTTATTGCTCTGTTTCTTTCTGTAATAATTTCAATATTTTCTTTCTCTTTTTTGCTCTGCTTTGATTGCAAATCAAACCCACAATCATTGATTCACACTTGTGCCCACTTTTTAAGTGAATTAAATTACATCAGTTGTGATAACTTCCCAACAATCTTAATGCTTAATTTTATCTGTATTTCTGTTGGAAAATTGTTTTTCTGGGAAACAAAAAATAAGTTTTATTTGAGCAAAAAATTTGTAAATATTTAAAATCTTTGGATTTAATTTATTTGATTTGAGAAAGTGAAAGATATTGATCTTATGAGAACAATGAAACAAAAATGAATAGAAATGGTTAAGATTTGAGGTAGTTAAGCTAGAGAGAGAAACATAACTTTGCTCTGATTTACGTTTTGTTATTTGAAGAAGATGAGATGAGTTTTATCGTGTGTTGGAGGTTCAGTAATACAACCTAGTGTTTTATCATGTGTGGGTGTGTTATTGATACAATCTAAGGAATTATTCAGTGTGATTGAGTCTAAAAGTATTTATTACATCCTAATTGATTTGAGACAATCGGATGGTTAATTTTTAAACCAGAACTTGTGTTTCTATTTATGTACTGAAATTGATTTGTTTTATTATGCAAGAAGTAGGGATGGCAATGGGTGTGTTATTGATACAATCTAAGGAATTATTCAGTGTGATTGAGTCTAAAAGTATTTATTACATCCTAATTGATTTGAGACAATCGGATGGTTAATTTTTAAACCAGAACTTGTGTTTCTATTTATGTACTGAAATTGATTTGTTTTATTATGCAAGAAGACAAATTTTGTGTTGAGAATTTTGTGGAAATATATATCTATATATATATATCATTACTAACGTTGATTTTGTAGATTTTGATTCTTGCACACACAAAACAAAAACAAAAACAAAAACAAAAACAAACAAACATAAAAACAAAAAAAGCAAAACAAAAAAAAAAATCTATATAACTGATTGTTTAGATTTCAATTTGAAAAATCTGATTGTAGCAGATTTCTGTGTGCCTAAGTTGTAGTAGTTTATTTAAAAAATTAATAAAATAAAATAAAATTTGAGGTTTTACGAAATTTATTTTCTTTTGGTGGAAATATATTTTTAATATACTGGAATAAATTTTTATTCAAGAAAATAAATTAGTGATTGATTTTTTTTTATTTTTTTGAGCAAAAAATATACTAGAAAAAGTATTTCTTTTTCAAATATGGTTTTTCATTATTTGTAAAATGTGTTATTATATTGTGTTATAATTTTTAAAATGATGACAATTGAAAAGGAAAGTGCAGAGACTCATTCTACCCTTGTCTTAGAATTGTGATGCCAACAGTAACTCCGTCAGCACAAGTCAATCATGGGGAAAAATCAGAAAAGTTTACGGGAATTGATTTTAAAAGATGGAAACAAAAAATGTTATTTTATCGTACCACTTTAAATCTGGTTCGATATACCCATGAAACGATACCCATACTGAGAGAAGGAGAAACTGATTTGCAAATTGTGGCGGCAGTGGAAGCCTGGAAGCATTGGGACTTCCTGTATCGAAATTATCTCAATAGTCTCACAAACTGTATAATGTGTATTGCATGAAGGAGACTGCTAGAGAATTGTGGGAATCCTTAGAACTAAAATATAAGATAGAAAATACTGGCGCAAACAAGTTTGTTGTCAGACGTTTTTTGGATTGTAAAATGGTTGATTCAAGGCTGTTATCAGTCAAGTGCAAGACTTTCACTAAATTCTCCATGGTATTCATGCTAAAATAATGATTCTTAGTGAATTTGTGATGACCCCAATATGCATATCATGATTATATTTATTTAATTATATGTTCATTATTAATTGTGATATGTGTCGTGTGATTAATTTGAGTATATCTGTCTAATTTGAAAACTATCTGTTATGATTTCTTTTTAGAATTCGAAATTGATGGCTTAAATGATTTCAGAAACCGAAATTGGCTATATGAATAGACTAATTAGAATTTTTAGAACCTTATGGCAAATATAATTAAAAATTGATTCAGTTTGATAAATTAAGTTGTGTTTAATTGGTCTAATGTTCTAATTAATGTAATAAGACACTCTAGTTATATATATGAGCCTCAAGCTCATTCTTTAGCTCATCCTTGTTCATTGTAAGTGCAAAAAAATCTGAGGAGAGCCGTAGGGAGAAAGAGAGAGAACTCACATTCTAGAGAGAGAGTGTGAGATTTTGAAGGAGAATTTGAAGGTTGAGATAGAATTGGTCAAGATAGTGCAAGAATTGGTGAATTTAAAGGTTTTAGATAAGAATTTAACCCTCAAATCTTGAAGACTATGTGTTTTATAGTTGAGTTCATGGATTATATATGATCTTTTGCATGTATTTTGTTCATAGAAGTCAAGAAGATGTTGTAGCTATACATGCATGCATGATATGATGAGTTTTGCCATGTTGGGTTTAAATTCTAACATCCATGTTGAAATTATGAGTTAATTTGTACATGCATGCTTCATTCATCATGTGTTAACTCTTAAATTGATGTTTTGGAAAAGAGTTTTGTACTTACATGGAGGTTTTGAGCTCAATTTGTTAAATTCAAGAGTTTTGAGAAAAGAACTTGGAAAAACTTACATGCATAAGCTTTTGGGTTAATTTTGGTGGATTTAAAGTAAT